CACTTTCTCACTTGCCACATTTGTTTGTATACAGTGGCCCAGCAGAGGAAAAAAAATGGCATACACACACTGAATTACATCATGTTTATAACCCAAAACGATAGCTGCCATATGCTGTTCGCACACAATGTGATCAGAATACCAGCATTTAATTTGTGATCGATGCAATCAGATTACCCTTAACGAGGAAAGAAAAAAAAAGATTGAAAATAAAAACACACGCACACACTGCTCCACGCGCACTTTCATGTTGTTCAACGGAGAAATAGATAAAAAGAAAATATGCATTTTCTAAATTTAGCCGCGTTGCCTTGGTTGGCTTAAAGTATTATCTTTCATACTGACGTTATTGCTGCTTCGAATTTGTGAAACGCGTTCGAATTGTTGTAAAATTGCCCTTTTTAGCTAATATTTTCTGTAAAAGCCGTTCGTTAAAGTCATGACAATAACATGTTTTGTGTTTAGTTGTTTTTTTTTCTTCTGCTGTTTGTATGTCGGTTTTTCTTTCTCTCTCTCGTCAAATGTGCAACAAAAACAAGCGTTCAATATGATTCAACGGGGAAAAAAAATATATGTTTCAAAATGTATGCTGTGTTGTCTTTGAGTGGCTTCATTTAAGTCACTTAAAATGTACAGTTTCTTGAACTGAAAACACATCAGGCCACTTGAGATACCGTTTTGTTGACGACTACGACGGCATATGCACACCAAAATGAGAACGAGACCAAGATAAAGTAAATCAGACGATGATCGCAACATATACCACATTTTCTATGTGAATTACAACATTACTACAGAACATCCAAAGTGGCAACTGACTTTACCTGCATATTGACGGCGCTAGCAATCGCCTGAATGCATGAAACAACAAACCGTTGTCAACATTCGGCTTGATCGATTGTGAAAACACTACCGCGGAAACTACAAGCAGTTTATGCACTTCCAATTGAATGGAAAATGCATCGTGTACTCTAGCACATTGGAGCCGATTGGCCGTATTGGATGTGGTTATTTTGTTAATTGCCAATTATTCCTCTAATGAGGTGTTTCCAGGCGGCTCAAATGCCGTTTTTATTAAACACAAATCGCGTACACGCTCACACACTTGTATCGCAGCAATAAAAATTGGCGCATACATAAATAGCCGCAGAGCTGTATCTAGCTCAACAAGTCAAATAATTGGTTTATTATTTATATATTTGATGAATGTACTGTACTTTTTTTTTCATATGATTTTCCTTGCTTGCGGCGGTGATTTTGGCGCCGTAAATTTTGTTTCTGTCGACAGTACAAATACAGCAGAAAAAAAAAATCGAAATGAAAATTTGAAAGTGCTCTCGCGAGACTCCAAAAAAAAAGTAATAACCACAACATCAACAACAACAACAACAACCAAAAATGAAATAAAACAAAAACCAAAACAAACGAACTATAGTAAAGAAGTAAAACAAATATAAACTATCCCAAAAGAAAATCCAAACGTTCAGAGCAGCGATCGAGTAAAAGTAAAACGCTTCTTTTTCATATTCTCTCATTTCGTTTGGCCAAACACATTCTGGGGCTAATTGGATGAAATTTCATTTTCATGCGGCAATAAACAATTTGATGTTTTGTGTTTCGCTTGTTCAGGCCTAATGCCTCCTCATGAACGAGCCAGAAATTGTGTGTGCAGTTTGTAATTGGCGTTCTTTTTTTGTCTTTCATATTATTCATTTTTTCGTATTTCTTTTTCCTTTCTACAAATGAATGGAAAGAAAAGAAAAATCACAAACTTTTACATAATCAAGCGAATAAAACGGCTGCCAGCCGATCCGTTCCCATAACGTACAATTTTTTGTGCAGTGTTCAAATTTTCTATTCCAACAATTTTCCATCGCTACGGTCTGATGGAAGTGACTTTGCAAACAAATGTTCGATATTCGAAATCTTACGGTTTTTTCTTTTTCTTCTTCATTTGCCAATTGTGTTGCGCACAGAAATTATTTCGATCGAATGCATAACAATATTTAACCGGAATTTCCATATTCGGTCATTTAGATCGTCTGCAATTAGTGTATTAAATTGCAATTTGACCGGCCGACCCAACACAATTAGACGAATGGATTTCAAACCGTACATCGTACCACTTCAATCGATCGAAAGGGAAATTGTTAAACACATGAAAAATGAAACACACACACGCCGCTCATTTGCTCCACGTGAAAACAATGAGAGCATAAATACAATCTGAATAAATTAATTTGGATTGCGTAACCTCACATGAGGCATCTTACCATGCATCAATTACGTTTTTGAATTTGTAAGTGTTTCATAAATGGGTTATTTTTTTCTTTCTTTGGAAGATTCTTCGGGCTGCGCTCACTCAACAATGTTTGTTTACTACGTTTTGTCGATCGCTGTATTTCGATTTCAATTGAACGGGCAAATTATATTCAAAAGACGTATCGAATGGATCGACAATTAAAATATCGCGGCCCGTTATTCAATTCAGTCGTTTCGTACATGCTTTTGTTTTGTTTGGTTTTCTCTCTCTCTCTCTCCTTCCGCTCTGGCTGGCCGCTTCGTGTTCCTCATTTCAATTTACACACACCGAATGTGACTTCGTGATGTGTCCACTGTGTGAAATAAATTCGAGCGTTTAAGTGCGCACCGAGTCATTGTTGCATAAACAATGGGCTAACGTTTTTCCATTGTTGAATGTCGTGTCAATGTTTTGTTGATCTTTTTTATTCGTAGTCGTCGTCATTCAACTTCATCTTGTCTCACAATGCTCGACTGTCTTACGTGTGTATCGTGTTGCTTCTCATTTCTTTCTCCCGTTTCTGGTTGCATTTTCCTCTTGTTCATTCATTGCTCACAAGATCGCTATTCTTAGTCGGCTGACTTCATAGTTTGCTGCACATTCTGTACTTATGCACGGTGATTTGCATGTGAATCAAATACAAAGTACATGCGGCAGCGAAAAAGAGGCAAAAACAAAAGCGAGTGAGAGGGAAAAAAACAATGTGCACCGTTTTCAAAACAATGCCTGTCGCATGACAACGAATTCTTGATGCAACTTAACTGATTCCAGAGATTGCACAGCAGCTATTTTCCGTAAATACTTTCTTTTCAGCAAAGATTCTCTTCTACGATGAGCGTGCGTGTGTGTGTGTGTGTGTGTGTGTGGGTATGTAATATTATCATAAAAAAAGGCTAATATCATCATTATTGAGCCGGCAGCAGTTGTGATTGATGGAATTGTGGGGAGAAAATAATAGAGAGAGAGAACAAGAGGAGAAAAAAATGAGAAACGAAAAGAGAGCACAAGAAAAAATGTGCGTGCCAAATGGCAGTCCATGGGTTTTTGCTTTGTGCTCCATTCCTTTAACAAATTCGAAAACAATACGCCGTTACAGTGAACTCGTTGAACCAAACAATTTAGGTCGTACAACTCTCTCATTCCGCGAGAGCTTTTCCCTCATGCGACACATCCAGCACCAGACGATTTGGTATTTTACTTAATCGCATTCGGATGGATAAAATTGCAATGATTCCGCTTACTTCTTCGTCTTCTTCATTTTCCTCGTCTTCGTCGTCGTCGTCGTTGTTGTAGCTACTCTTGTTGCCTTTTCGTGTCTAGTGTATCATTTCTTGGCATTAATCCGGCTGTCAGCAAGCCAGTTAGCAGCCCATCAGCCCAATTAGTGTCGTAATGATTGCTATACAAGGTGCAATTTCTGACATGATTTTTAGCTTCTGCATGTTCATTATCTCGGGCAGAAAACATCACAACAGTTTGTAATCTTAGATTGGATTTTGTTCCGCAATCCAAAAAAAAAACAGATTCGCGCCATAAACGGCGCGTTAGCTTGCTTACGTACATCGTTGGAAACCTAATTTTACTATGTGGACGAATGGAAGACGGTGTTGAAATATCAGCTACTAATAAGCATGAAAACGGTGCTCATTCTGAGCGTGAATTCACCACCCATCGTTGCTTCGATGAATCCATGATAGTAATTTAGATCCATATAGCCGTTGGCTTAAGCCACTGATTTGAGCAATAATAAAAGCCACAGCCTGATTCTACTTTTTCCCCAACAAACCGAAGAGAGAGAGAGAGAGAGAGAGAGAGAGAGAGAGAGAGAGAGAGAGAGTGAGAACACATCGACACAAAGACGTTTACGATGGACGCAATTAAGCAATTATAATGCTTAAATAAGGACAGAACCCAATAAAAAATCAAAACAAATTCGAAACAAATTCTCAAGCAGCAGTGAATCGAGCTTCAAGGCTTTAATTTATGAATGCATTGCCATTGTGGAGGAAAGCGTTAAGCTATAAAAGGCGACTTCAACGCAACCATTTTTATCAAATGAGCCACACTCGACTCAATTCATGTATTAAACAGTAATTAAATCATTTATTTTACGGTGAATCGCCGAGAAATTAATGGGAAACGACTTGTCTTGACTCACACTTCTGTTCGTCGACGATGCGACTAAAGTGCATTGCATTTACGTGTTGTGTGTTTCTTTTCCATTTCCATCCTATTATTATCATTGTCATTGCTCAGACAATTGGCAGCCTCTTTCTTAGATGCTGAGTCGCAATTTTACGGTAAAAAAGAATGAGAGAATAACGGCGCACCAGATCGAGTGACATTCGTATTTAATCTTTTAAATAGAGTCACATGCACACCACACATGATGTCGCAGACGCAGTAAGTGCATCGTGTGTCGCGAGAGTTGAATGACTCCATCCGATTATCGCGCACACACTGCAGACGAAATCCCGATCGTAAAAATAACATTTTGCAACATTGAATCTATATAACAATGAAGCCATAAAATCGAATTTACCACACTTGCTATCATCATTCAATGTGTCTCTGTGGATTTTCAAAATGAAATGACGAAAAATCCAATCCGCTTGATTGTGGTGTGGTGTATTCATAAGAGAATGAAATTGAATCGATTTGATTTTAATCATTCGAAATGTTATTGATTTTTTTTCAGACTTCTTCGTCAACCAAAACGACAACCATGACCACTCCAGCCAAATTGTTTGGAAAAAATTTGGGCGAATACGATGAGGTTGATGTCGACGAACTGTTGGCACAATTGTCGGCAGAGGAAATTAAAATTTTGGCCAAAGAAGTCGATCCAGATGTAAGTATCTATGACAAAAGCCATTTCGAATGGGAAATTTGTGTATTTTATACATTTCGTTTACCAAATTACCAAACACAGGATAACTTTTTGCCACCGAGCCAACGTAACAACTATGACTGTGAAAAGGAATCGACCGGTCCATTGAATAGAAAAAAGTTAATAGAACACATCAACAAAGAAGCATTAGAAACACCAGACAGACCGGAATTTGAGCCATTCATTAAGGGAAAAGTTCGCGGCAAAAAATGGGTAGCACCACCACCAGATGCAGCGCAACTCGATGCCGACGAAAAGATTGCCATTGATTTGGGCGATGAATATGAGCAAGCACTAACCGATGCATCACAAGAAGAAATAATCGATTTGGCAGGTAGGCAACGCTATTTGAGCATTTCTTTGGCTTCTCTCTTTCAAAAGATAGTCAATGTTTTGAGCACTACATAAATAGCAATCGATTGGGTGGAAACGAAGTCTGTCTTCGTCCATTGTATGCTCATCACATTTGACAATTTCTCAGTCGAAAAGAAAAAAAAACGCATAAACATTTTAACAAACTGACAAATAGATGAAGATGTTCAAGTGCTTAAAAAAGTATACGGCATCCATATTTCAAAATACAATTAATTTTCTCGAGCGTAACATCTATTTTTAAAGTAAAACTTTGCGAGTGCAGTAAATCACAAACGTTCCTATTTTTTTCTCGTTTTTTTTTCTTCAACAATTTCTGTCATAAATATTTATGAAAAATGATGATCATCGATCGTTTTTGCTTCATGTTGTTTATTCGATTCTTTTTTTCCTTCTTTATTTGTCAAAAATAATGCGCGTGCGTGTATACGAGCAGCTATTCTTGGCTTCCATTCAATGATGAATCAAGATCAATATCATGCGTCGCTGCTGAACAAAGGTAAGAAGAGAAGACAGACAGATTTTGTTATTCTATCTAATAATCGATTAAAATCGGAAAATAGGGCAACCTGTTGGCTTGGGTTGGGATGGCATCACAAAATCGAGTCAACAAAAAATCTTCCCACAAGATCCACCAAACAATACAGACGTCGAGGAATCCATTAAACGAGTCAAGGATGACGATACCAAATTGATCGAATTGAATTTGAACAACATCAAAGTAAATCCGCTACCTCTTCCGTTCAACCATTCCGCATAGCACCGTGATTATTCTTTGTATTGTTGTTTTTTTTTTTTAGAATATTTCTGATGAGAAATTCGAGCAATTGTATAATGCATTATCCGAGAATGAGCATTTGGAAGTCTTATCATTGACCAATGTTGGGCTCACTGATCGAACTGCATTGCTGTTGGCTGAAGCCATTCAGAAAAATAAAACTTTACGAGTATTAAATGTGGAAACGAATTTCATAAGTCCTGCCGTGATTGTGGTATTGGTTAGAGCATTATTGAAGGCCAAGAGCATTGAAGAGTTCAGAGCCTCGAATCAGGTTTGATTTGGCAACAATGACGCCATATTATACATTCTACTTCCATAAACACGCAACATTTTATTGATTTATTCTGGGGGGGTTTTTTTGCACCTCGCAGCGATCATCCGTATTGGGCAACAAAATCGAAATGGAAATCACCGAATTGGTGGAGAAAAATTCATCGCTTTTGAGATTAGGTTTGCACTTGGAGTTCAACGATGCCCGTCACAGAATTGCCAATCATCTACAGCGTAACATTGATAGAAGTGAGTAGTTTTTTTTTCCAGCTGATTTACAACATTTGAAATATCAAACATTTTTCTTTTCTATACTTTTCTTTCAATCTTCGAAGAAAAAAAAGACAATTTTTCATATTCATTTCCGCTCAACAAATTAATGACATTACTATATATTCATTCTTGGATTGGCGACATCGACATATTTGTAGAAAAAAAGAGAGTAAAAAACAAGACATGTATTGAATACAGAAATGTGTTTTTCATCGTTTGGGTTTTGTCCATTCAATTGATTGTGCAAACATTGGTAGAAGTGCGACACGTCCGATATTATGCAAGCAACGGCAGACAAAACATTGATTCAATTTTACACCAATTAGATTAAGATTTTGAGATTTCAGTCTCGATTTCTCTGCGAGTCACCATAAATTCTTTTTTGTTCATACGATGGATGTGGAACTCATCATTTGGATTGATTCATGCGATTATCCATTTTGTTCTGTGCTCAGAAAAGGTTTCATTTGATTCACACACACACACTGAGATATTCTGGGTTTTTGATTTTCTACACAGTCATTTTGATTTTGTTACCGTATCTTTTTTTTATCGTATCAGTTTTAAGTTAAATTGTTTAATTTTTTTTCTGTTTGTGTCGATCGACAAAAGTGTCTTATTTCATTGTGGATCATCTCTTAATTTTAGGTGAATCAGCACAAAAACAAGGTACACCTGAACGGTTTACTGCTAACATTGAGGAAATCTTTAAAAATCAATTATCATATTCACGACCATTGTCACCATCAAGCGATGATTATGCACATTAAAATTTATGCAAAGAATAAAAAGCAGTCACAATGAATATTTGGCGCGACAAATCAATTTCAAGTCACTAGAAAAACGAAAAAAAAAGAAAATACTGAAAATGACCAATATCATCAATTGTCGAATTCGATTGTCCATTTTATTGCGTGAAATTTTTTTGATCAGCACAAAACTGAACATTTGCCCAAATTATCATATTTTTCAAAATTCTTTTCCAAATTCAAACCAAAAAAAAATAATTGATACATTTATCAAGCCGATCAGTGTGTTTTCTCGAACCGATTGATTCGTACGAGAAAAAAAATAATCACAGAAGATGATGAATGAAAAGATTAACTCTATCTCTCTCATGACTTGAACGATGAAGGTAAAAGATGGCTTTTTATCCCACATTCTGTTTACCAATTCTTTTAAATGTGTTTTTTTTTATAATCTCTCAAAAAAAATTTTTTCTTTATTCATTGGTCTAATCATTTGCAATCTGTGAGTAAAATGTTCTCCGTGCAAGTTTTTCGTGGCACAACATTATTCTAGTTTAGATTCAATTAAAATTGCCTTTGTGTTCATAATGATAACACAGCAACAACAAACCAAACCAAGCAAACAAAAAAACGCACACAAACAAACAGAAAAGAAAAAATGAGAAAGAACCAAATGGTACTGATTATTACTGATCGAATCGGATGTGTTGTTTTGATACTTATCATTTGATGGTGCATTTTGAATCCAATTTAGTAGTTGTTGTTTTCCTTTCCCTCATACTTATTTCTCTCTATTTGTTCATTAAATTTTTGTTGTTTTTTTTCTCTCGTTAATTTCGTTTAAATTTGCCAATTATCTGTTGCTATTTTTTAACCATATTCCTTCAATTTCCTCTGTGTTTTTTTCTCTATCTCGCTCGCCTAATGATAACAATTCAATTGATTAGACACATCGGCGGATCACTTATGCTTAAAAATAGAAAGAGCAACAACAATTAATCCAATATGAATGAAGAAGAGTGCACCAGTTGGGTGTCTTCGTGCTAATTGCACGCCTCACAACGGCCGTTCAAATCGAATTAGCACATTCAATGATAATGAGAAGAGTGCAATTTATCCAAACGCACACACGAAGTGAACGAAAAAACGCAAAAAAAAGAATTCTATTTTAAAAAGTTTCAAACAAGCCATTACCGTATGTGTCTGTGTGCCATAGACATTTTCAGTGTTTTGAGCGTTAGTGACAATGAATTTGTACGCATCGCTAATTATCTAAAACGTTCGTCAATAAGAGAAGGGAAAAAAGTCCGAGTCTATTCAAATCAAAATCTACACATCAAAAGCGCATCCAATTAATTTCTCACGAGCCGAATCACGATCGCAACTAAGAAATAAAAAAAATTCACATATTCGATGCACATTTGTTGTCATTGCTCATTTGCCATGATCATTTTCGTGTTTATTTGCGAGAAAAGACGAAAAAAAGAAGACGAATCTAACCATAATTTTTTTTGTCATGATGCGAACCGCAATTTAAATATTGAATATTTTCACGAGAATTTATTGCAATTTATGCGTATCAAAAAATTCGTTTGATCTTTTAATTGTGAATCGTATATTTCAATGTTGTTTGACGGTTTTTCATTCATTTTTCATTGCATTTTCGTCGTGTCTTAAATGTCGCGTTCTCTGTCTCTCGAACAAATAATCTTCGAATATGTGTGTGTTTTTTTTTCTGCTCTCTCCTCTGTATGTGACGATAATTTAGTGTTAATTTGACAGTTCAAGTTCGAAGCAAAGGCAGATTTTAGCAAATGAAAATTAATTGTTCACGCGTTTTTCATCGTGCTAGCGACTGGCAATTGGTGGTCAGTAAATTATGACAAACCCATGCAAACAAATACACAGACACAAACTTACACACACCGTACAATAGCAGCCAAGCAAACGATATACAGCCCATTTGCAATATTCACACGCGAAGCTTTTCTGACACATTTTTTTTTGTTTATCTTCAATTTACACCAATTACACGCGTTAATTTTTATTTACCTGTTTTGGATCGACACCTGAAACCAATCCAACAAATTTCACCAAATTTCGCTTCTATTCAAGTTATATAGAGACTTTACCAATTTTGTTTCCCATTTTCAACACACAAAATTGTTCTTTTTTGTTTTATTAACATACAAATGCTGTAAATAACTCTTTTATTTAGTTCAAATCAAAGATTTTTCTAAATCAAAAATGTTTTATTTTTCATTTGCAACAACAAATTGGTCGTCTCAAATTATGTGTACCAAACAAACAAACAAAAAACCAAATTCATTTGAAAACGAAAAAAAAAATTCGCAAAACCGTACAATGACGACAGTTGTGCGAGTGAAGAAGGTTCGGGGGACGATGCCCAAGTTGATTCTGCCAGCAAATGATGCGCTCGATGACGATGAATTGGAGGAATTGCGAAAGAGTATGAAACGAGTGCCATTGTCTTTGTCACCATCTCCATCACCGATACCACCCGATGACATTGAAACGGAGATCGATCCAGATAATGTAGTCACTCGTGGCGCATACACTGATGACGAATGATAGCTAGAAAATCGTGCTCGCGTTAACGAAACGAAATGAGAAAAGCACAAATTCTCGTTCTCTCTGTCGCAATAAAGAAAACAAACAAACCAATTAATGCTGTTCCATTGCAAATCAACACCAACTGTTTTTCACATACACACACACACACATTGTGCATTCGTGAGTGACGTTCCTCTCTCATGCCAAATTCATTGAAATTGGCAACAAATTCGTTATACTATGTTTCGTTTTGGCTGTCACTTTGGTTCTCTAGTTGAAAGCATAACCAAGCAAATAATTACCGTTTAGAAAATATTGTTGATGTTTTATTTTGTTCGAAATGGCTTAGTTTTTGCGTTCGGTTGCTGAGAGAAATCGAAATCAAACGGCGAAACGCTGTCTCAGTCCCCGGCACATACAGAGCGGCATACTAGCGCGACCGTGTGTACTCGTTTGTTTGTTGCGAAACCAAGCAAAAATAATCCACATTAATTGTTGTTAATGGCTGTTCCAACTTGATGTTGACAACTTTTTTCCCTCCCGATTACACCAATTTGTTGTTTTTCTTCCGTTTTGTTACATAGCACACGTATTTCTTGACTTAGATGTTGTTGATCCCGTTGTTTCGATTGTTTTTAGTTTTTTTTTTCTTTTCATTGTTTTTGTATTCTGATTAAAATTTCACAGAAGACAGATATATACACAAATTTGACACAATTAAAACGTTCACATGCACACACACACACACACAAACAGAACAGAACAAATCCAAATCTAAATGCACATTCAATATCATGCTGTGCAATTTGCAAACACATGAATCACACTGATTTGAAATCAAGATGTCGAATATGTATGGAAACATGTTCGAAGGTACTATCCTTTCTTTCTTCTCGCTAACCCAAATAATATATATATCTTCATAATCTTCACTATCTCTCTATTTCTCTGTATCTCTTGGCATTCCTAAAATGATTCTGCATATGACCTCGTGTAATTACCATAACAAAAATGTGTACAATGTTTGACCATCGTCCGTATCCATAAATCGTTGCACTTCATTCGAAACACCAACAAAACACCAAAACTCATTCATTTGTCTGCATGTTAAACATATTTTCCATGTTCCGTATTGTATCAACACGTAAAAAAAAGATAAAAGAAAAATGGCTCGAACTGGAAGCGTCCATTTGCATTTATCACAAATCATTCATTCATCGGACCTTCGGATACCTTGTTAATGTCGCCGTTCTCCACCAATTGTAGCCCGAGAATGTTTTTGTTTCCATTAAACGTTCTCGACCTTTAGATTAGACACTCTCAATTTTCTATCGCAAACATATTAGATTACTGTGATACGAAAAGACAAACAAATGCTATTGTTAATGTTGTTGTTTTTTTTTAATTCTTTGAAACAATTCTTTTTTTTCTCTCGATCATTTAACTATTATTTGATGAATTTCTTTTCTCTCTTTCTCTCTTTCTTCCATTAAAACGAATTTGCAGTACGAAAAGACCTTGACCTCCGCCTACAATTCAGATTTTTTACTAATAATATATATAATAGAAAAACTGCGATGATTAAATGAGCCAAGTCCCAGTTCAATATATATAAAAAAAAAACAATCTATAAAAACACACACACAGACACAAAAACATTGAGTGAAAGAAAGCGACAGATGCCTATAATATATTCAAAATATCCCCGAAAACCATTTGAGTCATCTGTACGATGATTTGAAGGATTTACACATAAAAAAAGCCAAAAACTACATGAGAAAAAAAAATCAAATAAAAAAAACTATTTTTTAAAAAATACAAACACATAAAACACACACATTGATAAAAAAAATCTATTTTAAGGTACATTTTTCTTTTTTTTCTTATCTTTTTTAAAAATTGTTGTGGTTACGATTTTTTTTGTGGCTTCAGCATTTTCACTGAATGGCTCTGAATCGTTCGGCTACACAGAAAAAAAACTGATTTTTTCCGCAATTTACTCGAACTCTAACGCTTTTGATCTATCTCTAAACCTTCCAAATACCCTTTGTGTGCTCCTTTCTTTCGTTTGATCTGTGTTAATCGCTTGAAACGTCGTAGCACAAAACATAATGCTGGTGATCAATTTTGTGTTTCGATCAACGAAAAAAATAACGACTTGAATCTATGTTGTGAATTAAAGAGGCTTTCTCCGTTTTATTGTTATCAATAATGTCTATGACTAGTAACAGTATACTAAACATTTACTAAAACAATATACTATACATTTCTGGGGTATATACTAACACCGCAAAAAAAAAATTCTGCCAAAATTATATGACTTGACCAACCTTTTTCAACAAATTGAACTTGTTGCCTTTAGTTTTTCTATTTTTAATTTTTCTTGCATAAAATTTAAGCGCGTTTGCTAACGTTCGCTTTCTTCCTAATTTGTGATAATTAATTTTTAGTTTATTTAATGATTTGCTTTGCTCGATTAAATTGACCAACAAAAAAAAATTATTTGACTGAAACTAATGCATATATTTCTAATTGACTGGCTGCGTTTATTGTCGAGTGATTAACTCAATGAAGTTGATTAAAACAAATTGTTGTCGTTTTTTTTTTCTAAAAAAATAAGTTGTGTTTTCCAATTAATTTTGAACCACATTTCTATGGAACATTAGACACATAATTTGTTTTTTAAATGTTTTACAGTACGAATTTCCCGACTGAACCAGCGCAAATAAAGCGACATCTCAATAAGTAAAAAAAAATATATAAATAAAAATCCTATGATATAAACAGTACGTACAATTTATCTACTATTTTTTAATTATCCTTTTTTTTCGTTCTATTGCACTATTTTTTTTTTATCACGCTTACTATCGTTATTTTCAGTTGTAAAAGCTTTAGTTGTTATTTGTATCTGCTAGATTATGTGGTTATATGTGTTGGGTGTAGTTATTTCGTTTGTTTAAGCATGTTTATATTGGTGAAAAAAATCGACCCTGGTGAATGGTGAATTGAAATGATTCGATATTATTTTTGTTTCATGTTCATTCTTAAAAAAAAAACACTATTTTTCCCTCAAAATTCAATACAGATCAAATATTATGCATGAAATATAGAAATTTCACTACATAACATCCTCTCTTCTTTTCTAAGCATCCTTTTCCTTGTACATTTGTGAAATTTTCATCTTTTATTTTCAATCAGTACCAAAATTCAATAAAACCTATTTTCTTTTGATTACAACGGAAATACCATTTCTCAAAACCGAAATAAAAAAAAAGAAGCATTCATGTAATGAACATATTAGTTTGCTGAAATGCTCAATATAGCATAGATTGCATAATGATTTGTCTATTGATCGTCAATATATCTATCTATCTATTCAGAGAGTATGAAAATGCTCATTTGTTGGAATTTTGCATCGTTTCGTTCGTCCATATGTTTTGTGTTAGGTGTTCACAATATTACATGTTCTGACTGTGTGTAGTCGAAAAAAAAAACATACCAAAAATCACACATACACACACACAATTTGCATATGTACACATATCTCGTTAGTACACACTGACATTATCGGACTTGTAATTATCGTTTATTATTCAATCAAATTCTACACATTTTTTCCAGATACACATTCACCTAAGAAACAATCACATGGGTTCACATTACATTCATTTTTTTCTAATTTTTATTATTTTAAAGAATTTTTTTTTTGATTTGCTTTTGAATTCAGTAGATTTTTTTGATGTTGGGAATATATATTTATAATGTTTTTTTTTGTCTGAGTGATAGTCACACGAAACACATCTCGCACAACAAAATCACACACTTTGGCAGTGGAACATTTATAGAAATTCTTAGACAATATTTTTGCAATACAAACAGAAGAAAACTCGCAATTTTTTTTTTTCATTTTTATAAATAGACATATTCGTAGTTCTTAATATGTTTACCTTATATAATTTTTTTTGTGCTGTGGTGTTAAACGAAGTTCAATGTTCGTTTATTTATTTTTTTCTTGAATATTTCTAATTTTATAAATTGCTTTTCAGTTTGAACACGAAAACGCGTTAATTTGTTTTTTTTTTCTCTTATTGGTCAATTATCAGGCAAAATGGGGCAATGACGAGCAAAGCGGCTGTCAGTCGAACGTGCGAAATAGTTTTTGGATATCAACTTAAAATATTTCGCCGCTCGGGCAATCACCGTTTTTGCAGTGACTCACTCATTTTTGCACACATTAATTTCGTTTTAATTTCATTTTTTTTTTTTTTGGTGACGGTTCAAGTGTTTTTAATCTTAGAACGCGGTTTTGTGTTGGTATTGGCTTCGTTTCTTAATTAATTTTTTTTTTGCACAATTTAAAGCGATACCATGTGTTTGCGATAAAATAAAATAAAAATGACTTAACCAAAATGAATTTGCGCTCATCACAGTCAAGTCTGTGTTTGAGTGTCAACTAATGAATTCCCTATGTTTGTACTAATTTCGAATTTCAACTATTCTTTCTCAGCTGGACGACAACGTCGAATGGGACACTTTGCGCGAAACTACACCATCGGTTTCTGTTAGAGAATTAACAACATATTATTATGAAGAGAAAAAAAAATCACACATCACCGTTTCGCAGCTACTAAAAGAGTATCGGTGTCAACATCCCACTACACAACACATAATGCAGCTCTTGGAATAATTATCACCTTATTCTAAACAATAAGCAAATGAAATAGAACCGAAAAATATGATCGCTGATTCGGATTTCATTAGCCTTGTGTGCTCTTTTTGCTACTTTCATATATATATGTATCATTTACATAAATTTCGAATTGATGCATGCAATCAGCGATGATATTTGAATGCTTTGCTAGATTTTTACATACAATTTACTACAACATAAAGGAAATAAAACTAAAATAATATTCATTTTGGGAATTTTTCGCTGCGCCTTAAAATATCCAAGCATATTGTCCACATGTGTTTGTATCAACCAATTTAGATGTATTCAGATTTTTATGCCACAATTTTTTTTTTCTTCTGTCGAATTGCTTTGCGCTTTGGTTCAAACATTATTATATATATATATATATATATATATATATATATTGTGAACATCTTTAGATAAATAATAAAACAGAAAATATGATGAAAAGGCAACTGAAATGGGAAAAATAAACGTTAGAACGTTTTAAATTACAGCAACAACAAAAAAGAAACTTTTATATTTATTAACTAAAATAAATGAAACAATTGTGACATAAATAATTTACCTATGCAGGTCTAAGAGAATGAAAAGAGGAACGAAAAATTGCTATGAAAATCCAAAAAAAAACACACACAATCGTTCTAAATAAGCAAGTACAGTAAAAGATATCTATGTATAACGTGAGAGAAACACCTAAGCGCTAAATGTTTAAAAGGTTTTTAAAAAAAAATTAATTTTATCATATAACAAGCTAGCATTATATTTATTTAAGTTTTATTTTTGTTTTGATTCATTACATCAGTGCTTTCATTGCAAATTTATTCGGTTCCTTGGCGCCGTGTGACCCTATCCAGCCATACCGTAAATCATTTCGAAATTTCACATTTTTTTGATTCGTGACGCTCTGATTGAGCAAAATGCAAGCAAAAAAATGATCGATGAGACAAAATACTCATAGCCTCCTGTTGTAATTGATCCATGAACAACGAATACAGATCAGATCGCAAGTTACGCTCGCACTGGAAATTGAAAATTTTCGTGTAAATGTTCCTTTTAATTTTGGTTTTATCCTTTCTTTGGTTCTTTCTGCTGGTTTTTTCTTTTAGCAACAATTCACACAAACCATTAGGATCGTAAGAGAAAAAAGAAGAATTGTAAATTTTGTTTTGCACGTGATACCTATTTAATTGTGGTTAAGTAGAAATTTTATGCAAAATGTAAACGGCGAGGCGAACAATTACACGATTTATCGCGCTGTTGTTGATGTAACCAAAACAAAAACCGAAAGATTATTGCAGCGTTTCAAATAAATGCAGCAACGCCAAGCAATTCAGTCGACTGAATTGCATATCGCAATGTAGCACCTCATCATTCTCGTCTCGAATATTGTTCACCTTTTTTTTATTTTTAAACATTTTATCCAAACTGTAATGCAGACACCAATGTTTATTAGTTAGATGTGCGTGCATGGTTGGCATCGTCGTCACGTACCGACACAGCCACTCCAATGCAAACGAACATGTTTTTTTAGTTTCTTTCAGATTAGTCGATATTCACAACACTAATATCGATAATTCACATCATTTACGACAAAGAAAACACGCAAAACAAAAAGGATCAAGTTTAAACTTTAGTTACAATTTACAATTGCATGCAACAGCAAACGAAAATTCATACTATATTTCTCGAATGAATATGCTTTCATTTAGATATGAAGAAATTTTTCAAATGTTACACAAACACAACCACACTATGCAAAATTCTTCAATTCAATTATGCAAATACATTATATTTAATGTCAAAACAAACAAAAAATCGAATTTGCTTTTATTCAATGCATTGGCTTTATTGATAGATTTAAAACGGTTTTACAGACAAATTTTGGACATAGATGGAGTGTCTTGTTCATGAATCAAGAGCCGACGAGATGAATTAGATCATTCACCACGTGTAGGTATCGTATTTACGTGTTTCCCAGAGACCGTCTATGGTTTTCTTCTTCAAATAGTATTCGATGGCATCGCGATCAAAGTATTCCTGATCGAAATAGTCACCAAAATCTTGTTGTTGTCTCTCTTGGTACTTCAAGTATGGTTTGAAATCATGCCAAGAATTGTAGAAGAAAAGATTTACGTCAAGGCGGCGCTCGAGTAGTTTAAATCGGCCGAAATCTTTCGAAACGACACCTATGGTGCGGTCGTAGTTCCATTTTCTCAAGTAGTCTGGAATGTCTTCGAATTTCTTGAAGCGAGTGATGAGCTGGATCGGTCCGTACACCTCGTAATCCAAAAGGAATTTACAGCCATCACGAACATCGGAGAAAATGGTTGGCTCAGCAAACCATCCAGTAGTTCCAAAACGTTTTCCACCGAACTCGAGTTTAGCTCCATCTTTCTTGGCCTTTTCAACATAGTCCAAGAATTTCTTGAAGTGCCATTCATCGATGAATGAACCAACGCGAACGTCCTTGTCGAAGAGATCGCCAAGGCGACGTTTTTGTACCAATTCAATGCTGCGTTTCACAAATTTATCGTAAATATTGTCTTGAACGTAAATGCGAACGGGCCGATATCTGCTCTTACCGTCCTTGAAGAATGCAGCGTGATGAGCGATCAAAGCAGCGTCATCGATAGTAGCATCATCAAACACGAACAATGGAGTCTTTTCGGTGAAGAAGAATTTGAGCGTTTTGAAATTGGATTGACCGGCATAGTTGTAGAAGAGTTTTCCAATTTCACGGCGACCAGTGAACGTAATATGTTTGATGTATTCATTCAAGCCGAGTGCTTCGCCAACGATGGTTCCTTTGCCAGTCACAATATTAACCACACCTTTTGGAAAACCGATTTCATTGATCAAATTGGCGATGTAGAGAGTGGTCAATGGAGTTTTGTACGATGGTTTATAAACCAAAGTATTTCCACCAGCCAGAACTGTAGCAATTTGACGAATAAACGTCCAGAGTGGGTCGATGTGATCGCCAAGCAATCCAATGATGCCAAGTGGTTCTTTGGTCGTGAACTCAAAGTAGTCATCCTTGTCGCGATCGGTACGAGTCCAGAATTTGTCGGTGTAGCCGGCATAGTAACGCAGAAAGTCAATGCTGCGTTTCACATCGAATTTGGAATCTTCCAACGTTTTGCCGGTGTTTCTCGTCTCCAACCAAGCTAAGTAGTCAAAATCACGTTGCAACAGCTCGGCCAAACGGTACAAAAGGCGGCCGCGTTGAGTATGATCCAATTTACGCCATTCGGTGCCATAGTCAAATGCACGATAGGCAGCTGTAACGGCCACTTCAACATCGTATTTTTCACCTTCTGTCACCTTTATCCACGACTTGTCTTTCAATAAATCGTACAGCTCGTAGTACTTTCCGGATTTGGAATCACGAAAATCACCATCGATGAAATGCTTGGTGAATTTAATGTCTTTCTCGTCGTACTTGGATGTCATTGTGAATTGAAACAACTTGCTATTGCTAACAAACTGTGACTTACTGAAAATTCACCGCAATCCATTGAGCCTTTTATACCAATGTTTTGCATTTATTTGTATAAATTGATTTTTTTCCCATCTTATAAATAAACCGGCATAATTTTATTTTACATTACAAAACAGATGGGTGATTATTGGTAATCGGGTATTATGCCTCACCGGCATATGACTAATAATCGCATAATAATTGATAGGACAATCCTCTGGAGTGAGTCGAATCAGCGGAAAAAATAGATCTTTTGAACTTGAACGGTATAATTGTCGTATCAATTTAGTCCATTTTTTGTGTGTCCATTGCTCTCATGTGATGTAATCATTGTTTTTTTCGAAGACCATTATTTACCATGACTGAACAGATTTTTCGAGAAAAAAATTGAATAACAATCATAAAAAGTTGTTTTCCAACTTTCTCTTGGCCACCCTTTTTTATGTACGCTCTTAAGATAACAACTGCATGAACGGTTCCTAGGTAACGCTAACCTCGATTAAGTGCATGGCATGGAAACGCTTGTCAACAATGTCAAAATGTCATAATTTGCTTGCATCGAACGTTCCAATTGAGCAAGTAATCTTGTTTACTTTGATGGAAAATTCCAATTGTCACCATATTTTTTGAATTGAAGAGTTTCAATATATGATAAAGTGAAGCGATATACAGTAAAAGAAAGTGGAGAAAATGAACGAGAAAAAGTCGCTGCTGGAAAAGTATTCAATACCAGTTGATCATTTAGACTTTGATTACATAAGAGACTGCCGAAATGTCCGGGAATTGGAGAAAATCATAGAAATATTAAAATCGAATGAAGAAGGATACTATCCGGATTTGACGCGTTTCGCTGAAGAACAACTGAAGGGAGAGGATCCAGACAATCGGATGCTTCGAATCGAAGTGAAATGCCAACGAACCAGCATGAATGACAAACAGGAAATCAATGTACGCCACAGTATAAACACATTTCTTGTCATTAAGTGGTTATTTCTTGTTATTGAATGATTGTCTCAACTAATTTTTCGAATTTTCACTAACGAAAAACTAATCAATTCTAGGAATTTGTACAGAGTATCAAAAGTAAAGATAGAAAGATGCGAGTTCAATCAAACAGTGAGGATAATTCAGATTCATTGCCTCCAATACGAACTGTGATCAACTCTTCTGAAACTCAAGTTGCCGTCAAAAATAAAGAAAAACGAATTAACGCCACTGATTATAATCAATGGGATAAATTTGATGCAGGCACATATTTTCAAATGATTCTCTTCTAGAATCATTTTATCCAAAGGAAAATTTCAATTTGTTGTTTCATTTCAGATACGGAATGTCTAAAAATCGATTTGGCCGAGGAGCAAATTCGTGAAAAAGCTGCCATTGCGCAAAAACAACAGCAGAAAAAGTCCAAACTGATTGAAATTTTGCCCGAGAAAACGTTACTCGAAAAAATCAACGATGTTGAGAAACATGAGTTCGCTGATAAGTACGCATGCAATTGATAAGCCATTATTTTCTTCAGCTACAGATGCAAAACAATGTATTGCTCTTTTTCAGGCATCGAATCAAAGGGAATGAATTCTTCAAGTGTTGCGATTATCAACAGGCAATCATCGAATATAACGCTAGTTTAACATATGAATCATCGGCTGCTGTTTATAACAATCGAGCACTTGTTTGTCGGTTGGCCGGTTTTTTCTCGTTTGTAAACAAATGTTATCGATTTCATTCGTTGTTTTTTTTGCAGACTTGAAGCAGAAAAAGTACGCCGAGTGTATGCAAGATTGTGATGAATGCCTGAAACTGGAACCGAAAAATGTAAAGGCGATGCTTAGGAAATGTGAAGCATTGGTGGCAACTGATCAAAAGAACGAGGCATACAAGATATATTCGTACATTCTAAAGATGGAACCCGGAAATGTCATTGCTAAAAAAGCACTCAAAAATATTTCATTGCGGTACTGAAATGGATAACTTATTGTATAAGTCATGCAGTGTAGCAATTGTTTTTTTTGCAGGCTTGAAATTCAAGATGTGAATGTTCAATCTCAAGGCATCAGACTAACGGAAATAGAATCTCAGGGGAACGATGGCATTGATGACGAACTCTATCGAAAACTTATAATTCCACAAATCACTCCGCGAAATAAATTCTCGGGGGTTATGACCAGCAAATCAAAGAACTGATAACAGTAATAGTTTTCAGTAGAATTTTAAACGACACATATGGGCACATAAGACAAACCAAACCACACTTAGAAGAGAAAAAAATCGGGAAATGATAAAGTACAACATGGTCCATTATCCATTGCTTTTACTTTATTTTTAATTAGAATCTTACAAACGTCTGTGTTTTGATTATTATTCATCTCCATATATAATTTTTTCGTATTTTGTTTTATTCAAACCCTACTTTGCAATTCGAAGGAAATGAAATTTTCATAAATCCAAGCTGTTACGCTATTGTTGATAAACGTTCACAAGCTAGCTGAATACTGTTTGTAAGAATGTACTGTAAAATATTCAATTTTTAATTAGAGTAGAATCAATGATCAATCAGATTGGTGTAGAAACGGATTGGTTCATATGTACCCGTGTGGAAATATTCCGACTGAACTAACTAAAATCGATTATTTTGGGAAATAGTTGACTGGATAAAAGTGATAACCTAGTACAAAAACAATGATAACTATGATCATCAAAATAAGCGACTGGCTAAAGTTTCATCGTAGTCGACTATTTCTTTCATAAAAAACATCTGCTCAGTTAACTAAAGTCGCTTATTAGTAGATTTTAGTTACAGTCAGTCATTTCTTTTTTACCTAGGGGCTAACCACAGTTTTAAAAATAACCAATAATGATTGACTTTAACATTTTTTGATCATTTAAACAAATAAATTCCGATATGATCACATTTTGGTCGATTTTGCCCGATTTTTGCAGTAATTTTTTCGCTTTAACGAATGCATACTGTTCTAGAAGCGGGTTTTGGTGCATCCTCAGGATCGTTCAGAACTGCTCCCGATTCTAGAAGTGGGTTTTTGGTGGATCTTCAGGATGGACCAGACTGGGTTTGACAATGCCCTGGCCCATCCTGAGGATCCACTTCCAGAACCGGGAGCAGTACTGAACGATCCTGAGGATCCACCAAAACCCACTTCCAGCATTTTTGAATCGGTAATGACGTCAGCACACTGAACGTTTATAGTCGATATTAAACGATAAAATTCAATATATACACTGTATATTATACAGATTTTTTCAATTTTTTACGGATGTCATTAAAATTGGGCGATAAAAATAGATTTTGTCAATAAAAAATCCGTGGTTAGCCCCTAGTTTTTATAATATTTTCCACGATAAAATTAAGAAAAACTGCTTACAAAAATGTTGTTAGTATAAATTGATCCTAATATCCATGTGTTAGTGATGTCAAGAACATTTTTAATTTATAGTAGGAACGTGATCGCCAATAAACATTATTCTGGACCTTTTTCGCAGCAAAATAAATGCTATATTCTACAGATTTGAGACCGAGTTTTTCAGCCTTGATTTTAAATTGTTTCAATTGCTCGAGATGATAGTCTTTGTTCATGAATTTTGTAATTGAATCAACCATCTTCGAGAGCGTTGAGAAACCATCACCGAAATATTCGCTAATTTCTTTGATATTTGACATTAAAAATTCGAACGCCATTTCAAAGCCGAGACTATTTTGAGCGACCGCCATAAACGCACGTCGACCATCCTGCTTCCGAATTCCTGACGATGATGTAATCGTCATGTTCAAATATCTGCAGAAAAAAAGAGAGTTCAATTGAGTATTTCGAACTTTTTTTCGATTTGAACATAAAATAGTTATTGTTTACATACTTTGACAGAAGCCATGGTTTTGTTGTGCAGCCAAGAGCGTCCAAAATAATTTCTTTCTCGGAAGCACTGGTCGTTTTTAAGTAATGATTATATGCAAATTCCCATTCTTCGGCAGAACCTTCACGTAAGGCTGTGCAATAAGTAGTTCTCTTTAGATTCGGATTGATTCTGAATACAGAAAAATATGAATGTGAATTTTGACATTCAATTGAGTTTAGAAAGGGAATTTTGATAATTTTTGACCGAGATTCAATTTAAACTGATTTCTTTTAACTTACAAATTGTGTGTTTGGTCTCGCATCCATTCACGGTAGATGGCTTGTGTCCTATTTACACACGAATCATGACCGAAGAAACAAGCGTGATAAACGATAATTGCTCGGCGCATTTGTTCCACGTGTGATTCGTTTGGCTGTTCATCGAAACCAATCTCGTTATAAATTGGTCTTATGATGTGATGCATAAATGCCTGAAATCACAACGAAATCCCTCGTTATTTTTATTGTTCTTTTTTCTTATTCATTTTTCACTCACTCTAAAGTGTTCATAAGCAGGTTCACGGCTTAGCATATTTGTGATAAATTTGATGCCAGATGTTGCGGCGGCCCATGGCAGAACGTCTTGTGCACGTAATTTCAATAAGAACGACAATGGGATATCGTACGAAACAATTTCGGCGCGTGCCAAATTCAATGAATCGTCGATTACTTGAGCGATTACAATTTCTGGTAAGTTGTCGTAATTGTGATGCAATGCAATCCATGACTTGTAATCATAATTGACGCGATAGTAGCCAGAGCGTTGAACATTAAAGTAGAAATAATCGTCCGT